CACTTTGCCACGTCATCGTCGCCCAATACGACGCCGTTTCGTTCTTGCGCGTGTTTTCCTTCAATTCGTCATTTCCCACCGCCTCACACACGTAAAATTCTCTTTATCCCTCATTTCTCTCGCTCTCTCCTCTCGACAATCAACAGATCAACGCGTTTCCCCCAAATCAACCCTACTTCATCTTCTCCCCCATGAACACCAGGTAAATCTTTAATTTCTTCCCTTAGAGAGCTGTTGCGAAGCCCCTCATCACCTTCTTCGATTCCCCAATATGGATACACCAACCGTGCGAGACGGAGACAGGAGATGGAGAGGCAGAAATGAATAGTATACGAAGCTATTTCTCCATGCCTCCGTCCACTTGGACGGAGGCATGCCGAGTGGACGGAGGCATAATTATCTCCTTGGTAACTTATCCATTTCTTTGCCATGTCCAACATGTCTCGTCAAGATCTGAAGCAGGTTCTGTAGTTCGTCTTTCATTTTGTTAATTCAGAATGAATAAGTTTTAGCGTCAACTGCTTTCTTGTTAACACTATCGATTCACAACATTAACTATTGGTACTTTTTAGTTTCAATAGGGTTTAAAAATTGCCAATGTAAAATGAAATGTGAAGTGGAGCTTTAAATATAATGTCCTTGAGATGCTGTAAATAGAATTTCAAAGTGATCTTGTGATTTCATAGGCCTTTCGAATTCTTGAATTAACTGAAAATCTATCAATCAAACACACAAAATTACATTTTTTACTAACCGAACATACCTTTCTAGAGAGTAAGCAGTAATTTTATTGATAGTAAATTCTAAAATTAGCCAAACGTGTCTTATCTTTATATTGTTTTTGATTATTTGGTGTTGGGTAATGGATAATTGCAGATTCCAAAAGGCAAGGTTTTCTTGGTTTTAAAGAGTTTATCACTTCAATGCAGGTTGATATCTTTGCTTGATTGGTGTTATGCTATAATGATCATTATTTAGAATCTGATCTATCTTAGCATTCTAACTTATATTTGGTCTCCTTGGCACAAGCTGGGCATGCTATCACTGGTGATATTCTAAACGCTGAAGGTAATAAGCAGAGTATTAGATTATTTTGCCTCATGAGTACTATGCTTGTAATCACATTACTTCAACAAGGGACTTGATATTTCTGTTTAGTTTCTTAAGTTTGTGTATTTGTGTTAGAAGGGGATGCAATGGTTTAAATATTTTAATCAACTGCAGTTGACTTTCAAAATTTACAACCTCCTGGCATGGAAGGATTGGATGTTCTCCTAGCTGTAAGTCTACTACATGTTTTTCTATAATTGGAGGTGTTGAATACAATGGTGACCTCCTTTTGCATATTGCAAATATTCATGATTCTCTTTATTGCCTGCCTTTATGAGTGAATAATTTGCAAAGAGAGAGACATTCAATGCTTAGCAGTGATGGGAAGAATGGGGAGACTATTATGAAGCCCATAATTTACTTCCAGGCTTGGAGAATTGGTAACTTAAGTTGCATATTGCTTCTTTTCATTCAATAGTTTCAATAAAATATTTAATCATGCTCAAAATTGCAATGCTTTTCGATGCAGGCATTCTTTTTTTCATTATTGGAAATTGTCTGAACTTCATTTTCTTTGGATATGCTGCTCAGGTCAGTATATGATGTAGACAAAGTGCTTTCTGGCATCAATAATTTTGGCAGATATTTATTCATCTATGTATTCATCCCTTTTCCTTTTCTTTTTTTTAATCTTCTTTTCACTTTGGTATCTCAATTGCTTTGTGAAGTCCATTCTGGCAGCTCTGGGATCTATCCAATTTGTGTCAAACATCGCCTTTGCCTTCTTCGTGTTAAATAAAACTGTGACTGTTAATTTTGTTATTTCTCCAGAATGATCAAATAACATGTTTTTATATTTTTCTGTTCATGTTTTTCTTGACTTTCTAGACTATTCATATCATGGGCTCTCGGTTCTTTTACAGGGTACTCTTGGCCACAGCCTTTATTGTTCTTGGAAACATTTTCCTTGTTGCTTTCGGAAACCATCAATCACCTGGTATGTCACTCAGCACCAATTATGCCATACATTACTTCTAAATGTTTTTTTTTCAAAATAAAAATGTACAAAAGATAATTGACTTTCGATGGTTGAAATTTGGGACTACATTACAGAATGTTAAGCGATCATACCTGGTTGTCTAGGAAACCAAGTTATTGAGAGGAAGTGTGTTTGTGATGATGAAGTTTTAAAAAATTGTTATATGATATTAAAGATTGCAAATTTTTCCGTTTCATAATATCCACCGTAAAATATGTACACTTTTTGCACTTGAACCACTTTCAAATATTTGCTATAGCCTCTCCCAAGTCGGTGCACGAAGCTAGCTCCGTGCTGCACGGAGACAGCTCCATATAGCATGTTATTTATATTCAGCCATATTTGGCTAGCTCCATCCAGGATGGAGCTAGGTCAGATAACTCCATCCTGGATGGAGCTAGCTGGCCTTGCTCCATCCAACATGGAGCTAGATGTTCTAGCTCCATCCAGGATGGAGCTAGCGGCTAGCTCCATCCAACATGGAGCTAGCGGCTAGCTCCATATTGGAAGAAGTTCCACAGGTTTTTGTTGCTGTGGAAGTTCACCATTTTCTTTGCAAAATTGTTTGAATCCTTCTAGGATGAGATCTTCTGTGTATTTGTTATACTAGAGTACATTAAGCAAGCTCAGCTTATTGCAATTATTTTCTTTCCATTTTTGAAAATCTTTACATAATCTTTTCTTGGTGCAAGACCATGTGTGGATCTTCCTTCATTTGTTTTGATTTTTGAAAAGATTATGTACTTTTTCTCATGGATCTTATTGTTTAATACTTAATATACTTGCCTTTGTGAAATTTAACCCATTACAGAAATGAATTACTTGGCGAGTGATTATGTTATCCATTTTGCTTTTATAGGATGCACACAACCAAGCTGGTATTGTCCACAGTGGTGGTGTATTGCCATTGCTAAGCTTCTTGATTCCAAAAATGGTTCTCTACAACACAACGCCGCATTTGCTCTTCATGGCCTGGCAAATAATGAGGTATAATGTTTCTGTAGGTTACCAGTTAAGATTTTAGCTCACTTCGTGCTAAAAAAAAAACTTCAATTTGGTGCATTTACTCATCCCCACTCGAACTTATTATCTTTGATAATTTTTTATTATTATTTTTGTCCAGGATAATGTTGCAGATCTTATCAGGGTTGGAGCTGTTCAGAAACTTCAAGATGGTGAATTTATTGTCCAGGTACTGTGTCTACCTATTTGAATTTTGTGATGACAAATATATTGACCACTGGTTTGATTAAATGACTGTATATCCTGTCATGGGCAGGTAAAAGTAATTTCTCATTTTTCTTTTGCCGTAGTCAACTAGGGATCGTGTAGCGAAGACATTGAAACGACTTGAAGAGAAAATTCACGGACGAGTGAGTATCTTTGCTGCATCTAAAAATGTGAAAAAGGCATGAAAATTCATAAATGTTTCAAGTGCAAATAGTGGCATATCACAGGCAAAATGAAGAGCTTGAACTTAACCTCACAAATTATCCATAAACAATATTTAGATATTATTGGAGGAAATAATCAAGAAGTCGTCCCTTGTTTATCGAGTGCTCTGATTGTTTTATATATACAAATTATATTCCCTGCTGATCGCTTTATATACTGTGCCTGGTAGGTTTTGAGTCATTTGTTGTACATGATGCGTTTTGGAGAGAAAGTTGTTCAAAGACGAGTGGCCTTGGTCCTTGCTCATCTCTGTTCTCCAAACGATCAAAAGACAATTTTCATTGATAACAATGGTATATTATTTGTCAAATTTCTCTATGAAGTTGCGTTGTTGCTTTTCCATCACTGGCCTCCAGAAATACATACCAACTACCTGCTTCCATCTACGTTATGTTCTTGCAGGACTGGAGTTGATCTTGGAGGCATGGAGAAATAACTCCATCCAAGGATGGAGGCATTTCTCCTTGCCTCCATCCTTGGATGGAGACATGGAGAAGTGTCTCCATCCAGCTTGGATAGCCAGGGATGCCAATGCCTCCATCCAGGATCCAGCCAGGGACGCCATCAACAATGCTCAGGTATACTTAGTGAACTTTTTATCCAGGCTCATATCTTAGTGCTTGTATGTCTTCTCCATTTTCTAAATGAAAAATAAAAAGAAAGAAATCAGCCCTTAACATTTACAGTACACGTCTTCTACCCATTGCACACGAAAAAAAACCACAGAGAGGTGCCGAAGATCTATGAAATCTCCAAACTTATGCTGTAGCAACCGAAAACAAATGCAAAGCAAGGAAAAATAGTAACCAATCCTATGCTACAGCAAGGAAGGGTGAGTTCAAATATTGGGTAATCGTCAGTTTACTGGGCCGAAAATATGCTATCACTGGCACCTTGCAATTATTCCATTTTCTAGCACCTTCAAAGTATTATTTGTTCGATTTGTATATTGAAGTTTAATGTATATTAAATGATTGCTGTACACGCTTTTGGTTTTCATGGGCAGTGATTGATTATCAGCTGATGTGGTGTGTTATTTTTTCTCTTTTGATTTTCATATTTGGCTTTTGTATGATCTCGTGGCTATTTTTTTTTGCAGGATTCCAGAGCTCAATTTGCATTGGCTTGTTGAACTTCGTTGGTTAAGTATTCTTTGCTATTTTTTTTGTTGGATTTGTATATTAAGCGTCAATATATATTAAATGCTTGTTGAATAGACTTTTGGCTTCTATAGGTAGTGATTGATTATCAGTTTATGTTTTGTGGTTTCAATTTACTGAGGCGGGATTTAGTCTGTTTTTGTGGATTATTTTTCCTCTTTTGATTTCCATAGGATGGCTTTCTTTTGCCTAATTTCGTTACTTATTTTGTATTTATATATATGAAATGCTTGCTTTGCACACTTTTGATTTCAATGGATGGTCATTGATTATGAGTTTCTATTTGATTTTTTGTTTATATTTTTATGTTGTTCATATATATATATATTTTTTCTTTTTTTCTTAATTATTAATTCTACTATGTATGATTGCAGTGTGGTATTGATTAGAATTTGATTATTCTTAGAGGGAATAATGAGTTCTTTTATTAAATTGATTGTAATTATTGGAAATATTTTCGTTTTAATTAAATGATTGGATTTTTGGGATTGGATAAGATTACCTTTTTTTTTATATTATATACTATTTCTGTAGGAAAAATTAAGAGCACCGGAGTTTGATTTGGATCTGGACGTAATATTCTACGTCGGCAGCCGACGTTAATCAGCCTATCCGCACAGTCAATTCCACAGGTCAGCTCTTTACTTGTTTAAACGTGTTTACATTCTTTATCATGAATCTCACCAAGAGACCCCAATTTCGATAGATTTGTAGTGTATAAATCAATCCCTTAGCAATGAGATTTGGCTTTGATCGTTTCAATAATTGATCCGGAAAGTATAGGTTCCATTTATGTTGAAACTTATAGTTTTCATGTGGAAGAATTTTAGAATTTGTTGTTCTGATAAGATGTGGTTTTAATGCATTTTCGTCTGTCGAACTGTGATTGATTCAAAATAGGTATTTCCATTAGTTTCTTTTAAGAATGTTGCTATATTTATCCGGTTGTTGAGAACATCAAATTCACGTGATATTTTTGTATCAACTCATGAGTCATATTGTTTTCTGGAGTTTGTTTGAATAAATGATCTACTAATGGTTGGTTATGGAAAATGCTATTCCCTGGGTTCTTTATTCCGTTTCTGTTTTTGCTTGCACATGTTAAATTTTGCATAGCCTGAGTAACTATCGGGAGTTCTAAACTGATGAAGAACTGAGTGATAGAGTGCGCCAGAATTGCAGAAATCTCAGAAACCAAAATTGCAGGTTGGGTTCTCTGATAGGTATGCACCAGCGCGTGTTATTATCATTATTATTTTTACTTGAACATTTATATTTGGAAATTGTTCCACTGTATCTTCATTTCACATTTTTGTTTTTTAAATTCTCTGTGCATTCTAATTTTGAATAATCACAGTATTTAATTGCTCTTTTGAATAATCACAGTATTTTGAAACATTTTAGAATGATATTTTAGGTTAGTTGGAACCAAGACAAAATCCAGAAAATGTTCTTTATATTTTATTTGTAATCTTGATACATTCTTTAGAATGTGAATATTTGCAAGTTATTATAGAAAAAAACAAAGCCCTGTCAATCAGTGAAGTTGAATTTTGCATGAAGGTCGATATTTACTCACTCTTTGACGTTCACCTTCCAGTCACAAATCTGGAAGAACCTTCTTGTCAAGATACTTGATTGCTTTTTTGACCTATGATAGTGTTCCCGGAAACTTCTTCCTAAAATTAGTCACAAATTCTTTGGGAAATGGTCAAAACGTATACTCCAATAGAATCGCAGCTTTGAGAGGTAATTCGTGACCTAACGTTTGCTAGCTTATATTGTTCTAATTTTCACTAATCATCTCCCTTCTCTGCATGTTCTAATATGAGTTTACCGTCTTTCTGAATTTTAGTGTTCCGAGTGTTTTCTTAATTGTACATGAACGTAGCGCAACAGTGACCATGAATTTGATTTCTATATACTTCATCTCTGTAACTTTTTCGACCTTCAAATTATTTATTGATTTCTTGTAACCGTCGGTAAACTGAAGTGGAACTCTTTAGTACAAAGGTTCCAATTGCCGGAATTTGGGTGGTGTAACTTCCAATTTCTTTCCGTATGCTATGAAGGTAAAAGTGTCAGGGTTACAATTGTTTGATTGATCGGCTTGAGATTCAAATTTAGCCTTTAAACCTGGCATTGAGCAATGAATTAGGAAAATATTGATGGGCACACGAGTGATTTTAATTTTGGAATTATGTGCTTTTAGTATGTCTGCATCTGTGTGTTTAACTCTATTTCTAGGAACGCAGGGTTTACAACTTCCAATTACACTAATAATGCATAGATAAATTTCATCTTGAAGCAGGAATATTGGGAATAGTTGAATGATTTGTTTATTGATCTGTTGTGTGAACTTTTCCACTGGAACAAAGAAATGGTTCAATAATTTTGGTGTTCTGTATTGTCATTTTTTTCTCTTTACTAAGTTTTAGTTTTCCTTATTAGAGGCAAAGTCAGCTGGAAATACAATAGCCAAGAAATATTTTTATATTTTTTGGCCATCTAGAACATTATCTATGTACCTTTGGAATTTGTCAGATATGACTTTATTAATACACTAAGATGTACTGAGTGTACTATTGTTCTAATCTCATTGCCTTGTTTTTACATTCAAACAGACATTCTGATGGGTATCTAGCACAATGAAATTTAGAGCATGCTTGGGAGTGTTTATAGCACATTGGACTTACCTTTTTATGCTGTTAAATTGGTATACTATGGTAATTTTCCAAATTTCTATAGGTTTTGGAAGCAAGTGCTCCTGTAAGTTTTGACGTCAATAAGATTTTCCTGAATAGAAATGGATCAGCATTGCTTCTAGCTGGTTTGGAGGGTTTGTCTGATGTACCTCTATGGACACTCTTCAATGGAAGAAAGTACTATTTCTTGCTATAAAGCATATCCAGATGCCTAACCCCAGCAATGGTATTGTGTAGTTATGACTACCAGCCTGGTTATAGTAATCCTTAATGTATGTTCATCAGACCTATGCAGATTAAGGGTTTTATTTGCTTCAATTTGGAAATGGTACATCAGGTTTTTCCTTGTTTTCTCTATAAATCCTATAAATAGTTCATTTGTCAATTAATCATTAATACTGCTATTGAAATATTTTTTATCGAAGAACATTTATACAATTAACTTATGCAAACATTTTTAGTGCACATTAATCATATTTGCCGAATTTGATCTGACTGCATAATAGTTTCACAATGTCACACAAACAAAAGGAATGTCTAACAAAGCATTAAATGCAAAAAATTATGTTCTTTTACTTAGTATTATATTTTGACGCATATATTTAAGCATTAATGTTAACTGATTATCTCTAATCATTATATAATTAATGACTTGCCACAGGATCCCACTGGGAGAAAAGACTTTTAATGAATGAGATAATGACTGGCTCAGTGGATACAAGATCAGTAGTTTCAAAAATGACCCTTGCTTTACTAGAGGCAGTGGATGGTACCATGCTAATTACAGTGTGTCAGATCGTCTTGACTGGGGTGGGAACCAAGGAACTGAATTCGTCGCCTCCCCTTGCAATCGTTGGAAGGGGCCATATCATTGCAACGCAACACAACACAGATTTCAGGATGTACATATAACAGGGAGGCAGAAGGTTACTGCTGTATTGTAAGTTATAGCAGGGAGCTTCCACAATCGGCACGCTATTTTCCAGAGGCTAACAAAGGTATGTTCTTCTTTTGCCTCACTTGAATTTTTCAATCTACTACTGACATACATTTTTTAACACTTATTTGTATTCTTGTTGCAGGCGCTCAGTCATCATTGGTTGATTATTGCACGTATTTTGTTGCCTACTCTGATGGATCTTGTACTGCCACTAACAGTGCTAGGGCACCTGACAGGATGTTGGGTGAGATGCGGGGAAGTAGCTCAAGGTGAGATTTTCACTTGAATCTTTCTCAGAACTATAAAGAGAATTGATGTTGATAATTCTTCTCATATCATTACTTATAGGTGTATGGCCTCATCATTGGTGCGTAGTGGGTTTGTAAGGGGCTCTACAACCCAAGGAAATGGTTGTTATCAGCATAGGTGTGTAAACAACACTCTGGAGGTATGGTTTCGAACATAAATATAATGCTTCTCTAACATTAGTCATTAGTATCTAATGCTTGTGGGCTTATAGTCTCGGGTGAAGATAAATGTGAATATGGGATATCATTTGGGATAAACTAGGACGTGTTCCTTGTACTCTTTGCTCCCTCTCCCCACACTTTCTCTTGTGAGAGGGGATTTATTGTGTGTGTGTGTGTGTATTCTGTTTTGAATCTTTAAGTATTAGAGTTGTCTTACTATAAAAAAATATTGTTTGGATCAAAAGAATATTGTTTGGTTCAAGGAATTCCATCCCTGCTTTTACAAATTTTTTAATGGACTTGCCAGAAACTTTATAGAATAGGTAATAGGATGTTTCCTTGTAAACTCCTTGCTTGTAGTTTCTGATTAATGAAATTTTACTTGTCAAAACATATTTGGATAAATAACTGCTGAGGGAACTATGACACCCACTTTGTGATGTATATATCTCTATTGAGCTGGATATTTAATTATATTTACAAGGAAAACATGTAACTTCAGGAACTTTTTAGACTACTAATGTATTTTAATAGCCTATGTTTAGCTCATATTAATAAACATTCCAACCACTTTTTATTCACGCATTTCGTGGGATTCAAAAGTACTATCCAGCTATCACCATTTAATTCTGTCTATTTATAGACAACACATTTATAAACACTTCCCAAACATGTTTTTATTCTTTTGAAGGATTTTTCCTACCACACGAGTGATGGAGGAAAGGAACAGAAAATAAGATTACCATAGTTCCTGATATTCTCCAGCTGAAACTTTATATTTCTCCAGTAGGTTTCTAGCCTTGTCTTTGTATTGTCCTTATGGAATATAGATCAGAGAAAATTCCAATCGGAATTTTTAGTTCTTGGTATATGAGGCATTTAGATATATTTGATCTGCTCCCTAATCCATTGAAACATTGAGAGGAAGCTGCCGAACCAAATCCTTTCATGCACCGAGCGGAGAGCTGAATAAATTGCTTGAGTCTTCGTACTATCTTTTCTAGGTTGCTGTGGATGGCATTTGGAAAGTATGCCCTGAATCTGGTGGACCTGTCACCTGTTCAATGTCCCGGGTTTAATGGTAATTGGTTTTATTATGATATATGATCAAATATATATCTTTATGACATTTTACCTCAGAATTTGTTTTAGATCATTTATTTCCTTCACTCATTTATAGTTTCTGCCGAACTATAGATGAACTGATTTACCCAGCTTGCTATGAACTCTGCCATGTGGATCCAGTCCATGCATCTGGTCAATGCCCCAATACATGTAATTTTAATGGTGATTGTCACTATCCTATTGCTGACTTAAGTTATTGCTTTGTTGTATCACTAATAAATAGATTCAAGTACCAATGCCACATTTATGTGAATTATCTTCATAGTTCATATTACTTTTGTGGTACAATGTAATATATTTTAGGTGGACCTTTTTGTCTTCTCTTTCAATGTACAAGTTTGGAAACTTGCCATATTTTTTTACAAATGGTGAAAAAATATTTTTTTACCCGTCATTCATTCACTAAAGTTTCTCGGGTCATTCGAGTGGAGTTAATTCCGTAGGCTTTGATTCTTCAGACGAGTAGCAAGTGGAACAATTTAGCTTTGGGATTTAGAAGAGGCTAAGAGTGTGCATTCTATAACCCATTGACATTGGGTGATGGAATGGCGAGTAGATACTTTTAATTACATAGATTCTATTGTTTATCTGATGTCTGAATGTTGATTGGTAATGCAGTTGTCTTACAAAGGCAATTTTCCCCATGATTTTAATAAAGTTTGAATTGTGCATTCATTGTACTAACTTTTTTCATTTGTTTCACTTTATTTTCTTTCTTTCTTTCTGATCTTTAGGAATGTCTCGGCATTTTGCATTTTTCCTGGGTTGATTAATTCACACCAATGAGTTAATGGTAATGGATGCGTCATTTATCTTGATTAAATGGTTTTATGGGAATAGTAAAGATATAATAGTAGTTCTACTTTCATATTATGACATTGGACTCTTTGAAGCTCTCGTTAGAATATGTCCATCATCTGCAATCCTGTATGTGCAATGCTGTAATTGACCTTTTCGGTTATTTAATCTGATTGAGTCTTCTTGAATGATGGGTTTAATCTATAAGCAAGCTTGATTTGGTTAGGAATTTATTTTTGAAAATTGGTATGCAACTTATGAAGTACATATTATATTGGTCTGTTTTGTAATAGAATTAAGCCCAGTGTTTCTTTGCAGATATGATGTATATTATGATATCAAGTCAATGCAATGAGTTTTATCTTAACCATGTAGTCTGACAAACTAGATTGGGAAATTAAATGTTGAATAGATCGATGGAAATTGAACTTCATCAAAGTAAATGGGAGTAATTTTCAATTTCTTTTGCATATTTTCTGATGACTTAATTGTATTCCAGATTTTTAAATAATTAAGTTTTATTCTACATAGTTCCTACTCGACTGCAGGCCCTTTTATGAGTAGACCAGTATATTGAAAGAACATTCAAGCAAACAGATATTTTGAATCGGAAGAGGAAAGGGTCTCAAGAACCAACTCGAATCTGTCGAGGCTTCATTTTTTGTTACTACAGCTTCTGAGACAATCGTAAGCTTGTTGATTTTTGGGAGTAATTGATTTTTTTATATGGTAGACTTTGCGATTTCTGTTAATTTGAATAATTCATATATAATTATCTCAAGATAGCTCTTTTGTGCTGTAAAATGACTACTTGGCAAATGCTAAACAATTTTAAGGACATTCAAGTTTTGTTAGTGTTATAATGAGCTATAAGCAGTAGTTGTTCAAATAGATTAAAGACCATAAAATTAAGTTTTAAGTGGACTTCCCATTGAGTGCAAGGTTAATAGATTTATCATTTTTCTTATTCATATATAGTTATCAAGTTTATTAAACTTCATATGTGGTTCTAATCCATGTTTAAAATGTGCAGTTTGGAAAGTGTTGCATAATGCTCAATTAAGCCTTTGTAAATTGAAGGGTAAGTTTTCACGCAAATGGTATGAAAGGCGTAAAGTTTGTGTTTAAAGTCTAATGTGAGGAAGCTCTCAAGGTATAAGCCTTAGGTTTCTTTTTCTTTCATTTACTATGTTCAGTAGGGGAGCTCCTCTTCTATTTTTCTTAGGTTCACTCAGTTACATTCTATTATTTTGCAGAAATGTGAAAATTGGAGTGACGAGTAAAATGGTTATATTTGTTTTGTTGAAATGTAGGTGATTGTTGAGAATGCAGGAAAAAGTATATTCCCAATATTGATAAGAAAAAGTAAGTGCCGACTCTACTATTGGATTTCAGTAAATTTGTTATTATATTTTTGCCATATTGCATTGGTAAAATTGATTGGTTCAATACAGCTGATTATCCACATCAACATGCTTTATGAGAAAGACATATTTTTTCATCACTGTAGTACAAAAAAAAATTTACAGTTTTGTCTTACAATAAAAATGTGGTCTTTTACCAGTTGATTCAAAGTTTGGAAATTCATTTCAAGCTTATCTAATTCAGATTTTCTACTGATTTTGCATTTACTAATGTTGACCATCCTTATATTATATTTTACCATCCTAGATGCTCTACGAAAAATCTACCACTTGGCTTTTTATTTCTTTTTCCATATTGCCAAAATCTATAGTAACCGTTCTTTTTGGATTTTTTTACAAAGGCACTACAATATATCAGGTAGATAGCTCAGGAGACGAGTGGTGAGATGGTATACAGACTCAACCGACAACCAGCTGTTCTACGCACATTTAGCCAGAGATTAAGCAGGTAGATACCACTATGGAATCATGTAATGCACAACAGTGTAAGCCATCTTTTATGTATACTGTTGTCGAATTTTAATGGATTGCTATTAATACTCAATTACTGCAGCTTGAACCAGGAAATATTCAGATAAAACCTTCAATGATAAAGATTGAGATAGACCAAACATTGCCGGTTAGACAAACGTTTAATTCACTGAAGATTGTTGATGTTAGGTATCTCACTCATTTTACTTTTCTTAACTATTATAATCACTCCATCATATTGTGAAAATGGCTTTTTCTGGCACACTGATTTAGCTTTGTAATTTTCGATGAGCATACTATTATAGGCGCGTGTTTTTAATATTTGTTTTCTACTATGTGCAATTAATCGGCGGATTAATTTAATATTTGATTATTTTTTGGCTGTGATCTATGATGCAATTTGTTGTGATTTTGGTTAAATAACAGTGCTAACTGGAAAATCCTAAATATTGAGGTTTTATAAACTTTCCCTCTCTAATTTTGTGCTAAAATAGCTGTGTTTAGCAGCTCATCATGCTTTAGGAGTCGTCAGAAAGATTGGAAATATGCAGATTCGTCATTTAAAAAAATAAATAAATTGCAAATAATTTGAGCTCTTTATGTTTTATGTCTGCGCCATTGCATTTTTTATTTTCTTTTGTTTCGTTCTCTACAGCAACGTCATTGTGTGGTATTATTATATACATGTTCGATTGAGCTAAAATGTAATTTGGTTTCCCTAGATTTACTTTTAGTCGTGTTACAGTTTAGGTGGACAAAGAATGCAGTGTAGGGTCATACATTTTTTTGTGAAAATTTTAGTAAACTAAACCATTAGGGAAAAACAAAGAGCATACTTCTACTAACTAAAATCTGAATAACAGCATCCCCATTACTTCAAGCAATTGCACTTATTATCCATTTATCCTCTCAGCATCAGCATGTGGATAAAAGTCATAGTTCCTGGAAAGTCAGGATGTTTGAGGAGTTAGCATATAATGAAACTTGTTTACTATGTATCTTTTTTATACAAGTAAAAATAAAATATTTCGCACGTAAAAGAGTTTTATGGTCAAGAAGCTCCATTAACTTGACTTCTCCAACATTCTAAGTTTCTAACATTGCAGGAACAATTATTGATAACAAAGTTCATCATTCGTGAAACTGACTTATCTGTGTGTTAATACTTGGATATGAAATGTTCCCATTATAATTTTTTTCATCTGTTTGAAGCGATTTGGAAGGTTTTAGAAGTGTGCCCCTGTTTTGTTAGGTAACGAGAGCATTAAAGGAAAATAATCAATCTTCTTTTCCCCCGTTGGTTTAGTTTAATTACCAAAATTTTGCAACAATTAATTGTCCATCATCATCATGTCGATAATGCTATCATGAAAATCTTAGTCAGTAGAAGTATGCCATTTTTGGTTAGGTAACAAATATATTAGTGGAAAATAACCAATTGTCTTTTTGTCAATTTAATTTATTTTTAGTGATTCATTATTAGTTTTTTGGTTTTTTTGTTGTTTGATTCATAATTGTATTTTGAAAGCTAAAATTTAAATTTTCCCAGCAAAGGAAAATTGCTTGAGAAAGAAAAAACAAAGGAAAAAAGATTACTCGAGAATTTTATGTTGCATAAGTTTGTATTTACTATTTAGTTGAAAACACATTTGCTAACAGATGGCAAACTGCTTAGAAATGTTATTTTTATTAGCATTTTGACATTTAGTCAATACTCGGTTTTCACATTATTTTTTTGTTTGAATGACAGTACATTTGATTCCTTTTGTTTTTTGGTTTCTTGAGAAATTTATTGATGTGTTTAGATTTGCTAATTTGTACAGGGTTATTATAGACGAGGTGCTGCGAATTTGAGATTGGCAAGTTTAAAGAAGCTTTGAAGGACTTTCAAGGTTTCCCCTAACTTTTTTGTTTGTAATTGTATAGTTTTTGAATTTGTGATTACAATAAGTCAAAGATTAAAACTTTGTTTGTTTTAGTATCATGTTTACTTCTGGTGAAATGTAGAATGTATGATTGAACTCATATATAGATTGAGGTAGTGAATTAAATTTTTTGCGCAGGACAATCATAGGTGAATGAGGATTTTAGGAAGGAGAGAGTTTTGTTCAGGAGAGCAAATATAAAGGTTGGTCTATTTTCTTTCAATTTTTCGGTATCTATTACTGCTTACATATTTTTGTGTGTCAAAATTTTTCCTGTACTAGAATTTATTATGGCATTTCTGCTACATTGAAGTTCAATTCTGCCTATTATTTCTTAGTCTTACCTTGTCATAATACTTCATCTCAAGTCTTTTGAAACTAGGAATTGGTTACTTCGTCAAAAATAAGAAAAAACTTCCAAAGTTCCACGAATTTGTTCTCTTCGGAGGCAAAACCTTCTCTTTTAACAGAGTAGCTTCATTGGATTTGTCATGCTGATGTGGGTGCTAATCTTATATCTTATTGTTCTTTTTGGATGGTTTTGTCCTGTTCCATGCTGTTATGGGGTTTTTTTTGGCCGTAGTGCATAAGTGTGTAATTTTATGATACCAAACATGACGTATTATCTGTTGTTTGGATTTGCAGATATCAGTTTAAGAGTTCCCAGCAAACTCTTTTCCCTCTTAAGGAGAAGCTAAGGCCTCGGTTGAACCATGAACAAGTCTATGATCCCACCTGCAAGCTAAAAATAGGCGATGTAATTGAATTAACTCTGCCCATACCAGATAATTCTCTAACAGAGTGCCGGAAGGAGATACAGCGCATATATAATGGTGGTGTTACTATATCAAGCACACTGCTTGCTGCCAGTAAGCCCAGTACTATGGGTAGCTTGAGAAATTGGTCCTTTTTTTCTGTTTCATTTGATGTACACCATCCAATGTAACATTGGTGACTCCTGTATATAGATGTTGAAACATTAAAAAAAACCGTAGTTAAGAAAAATGTTTAGCCAGAAATTGTTCCTTAAAAATCAGATGAATGCTGTTAATTTCGCAAATTCATTTACTCTTGTGATGTTGTGAGCTACTGTTAGTAACCAAATTATGAAGTTGCATAGAAGTATGATTTATATTGGTAAATTGTTTAATGGAAGTGCTAAACATTTGATTTGCTTATTTATAGCGATTCGTGGCAGAAGTAAAATATAGCATTTTATTGAATGAACTCACTGGATAACCAGAGTAACTACATTATCCATTCACTGTCGAGAGCATCGGCTTCTATGTTTCTGATTTTCCAAATAGCCATCAGTATCTTTTGTTTTACCTTGCTAAAAAACTAAAAGCAGTCTCAATCACATTTAATAACAAGAAGCAAGTTGCTCTCTTATCTCCAGAAGAAGTATTGCGCGGAAGCTTGGCATGAAAGTACAAACATAAGCATAATCAAAATTCCGGCAAAGGTCTGGAGTTTCTGAGTTTGCATAAAATAACCGAATTACCCCTAATCAAACTTCTATTTCTCCCAATCTTCATTACCTAAATTTGGTTTTATATTTTTATCCTCCTACCCCACTGATCATACTTCCTTGGTTTTTTTGTCTCAAAATTCCAAAAACAATTGTTAATATGCAGGAAGTGGAAGTAAATCTTGTTATCACAGATTATTGTATGCCTGGAATGTCTGGCTATGCTTTGCTCAAGAAATTTAAGGTATATTTTCTTGGACAGATGAATTTTCTTGCATGAAAAATATGCCTATAATTCTAAAAATCTAGCCCACATGGAGTCCTTTTCCCGCATTCAGTTTGTCCTCCATTTCTCCCAGGATGGAGGCATTTCTCCTTGCCTCCAAGGAGAAATTCATATGTCTCCATCCAAGGATGGAGGTTAGGAGAAATTCCTCCATCCAAGCTTGGATGGAGGCATTTCTCTATGTCTCCATCCAAGGATGGAGGCTAGGACAAATTCCTCCATCCAAGCTTGGATGGAGGAATTTCTCCATGCTTCCATCCTTGGATGGAGGTCTAGCCTCCATCCTAGCTTGGATGGAGGCATTTTCCATCCTTGGATGGAGTCCATCCTGAATGGAAGCATAATAGTTTTTTTATCTATTTAATCCTTCTTGCATGACAAAGATGATATTAAATTTAGGATATTTTGCAGGCTAAAAATCAGAAGCTGTACAAATTACACAATGGAGATAAGTGGACACAATCATCAACCAAAAATTTCTCCCAATCTTCATCAGGTAAATTTGGTTTTATATTTTTATCCTCCTACCCCACTGATCATACTTCCTTGGTTTTTTTGTCTCAAAATTCCAAAAACAATTGTTAACATGCAGGAAGTGGAAGTAAATTTTGTTATCACAGATTATTGTATGCCTGGAATGTCTGCCTATGCTTTGCTCAAGAAATTTAAGGTATATTTTCTTGGACAGATGAATTTTCTTGCATGAAAAATATGCCTATAATTCTGAAAAATCTAGCCCACATGGAGTCCTTTTCCCGCATTCAGTTTGTCCTCCATTTCTCCCAGGATGGAGGCATTTCTCCTTGCCTCGAAGAAGAAATTCATATGTCTCCATCCAAGGATGGAGGTTAGGAGAAATTCCTCCATCCAAGCTTGGATGGAGGAATTTCTCCATGCTTCCATCCTTGGATGGAGGCTAAAAGAAATGCCTCCATCGGATGGAGGCATTTTCCATCCTTGTATGGAGTCCATTGTGTAGGAATGTACCTTAATGCTTTGCCATAAACTTTATACTCCAATTGTCAGCTTTTGTTATTGTACAAATTACATTTTAGTATCCATGTTTAATCTTCTCATCTTTTGACTTCAATTATGCAGCATTATCACCATATTTGAATAACGACAGTATTCCCATGTTGACAGTCTTGAGCTTTATATGTGATTCATCCTTTGCATTTCTTTTATCTTCATCACTAGACATTAAATTTAATAAAAGCAGTAATTATATGTACAGTAACTAGGACTCTACAGCTTAAACATTAGAAAAAGTATAAAAAGACAAAGTTGGGTTTGGCTTCGATTTGTAAGCACAAAACTTCAATAAAGATCTTGTATGTGTACTTGACTTACAGGTAATGAAGTTTCATAATTCCTGTTTTGTGTTTGGTTTATATGATAATTAGTGGTTGCAATTTCATAAATTATGTATCATATACTTTTCTGCCTAATCTCCTGATGCTATTAATTCAGCACACATGTTATGGATTAAACCTAATCTCAAACCTGACAGCAATAATGAACAAACAAAACCAGCAATATAGTTATAGAAACACATATATTTATAGTGTCTTACCTTCATGTGAAAGGTACTCTTATTGCTACTCATTTTTTGCTAACTAAGATAATATTTTAGTAAAATTGAGATGAAAAAATGTACAAAAAATATTCACACCTCTGTGTTTTGTTTTTTCCACCGAATCCTCCTTGCATGACAAAGATGATATTAAATTTAGGATATTTTGCAGGCTAAAAATCATATGCAGTGTTACCAATTCTTTTTAACCATAACATCTCTGAT